TTTTTTTGTAAAAATATAAAAAAAATTGTACTTTGCGGGGAAGGATCTCGAAAACCTTTTATTTTTTTGCAGATTTTTTTTTTCTCCCTAAGCTCTGTTTTATTACAAAAAAAATAAGGTATCATCGAAGAAAATCGATGCAAAACTACGTAAGTTATAAGCGATCAAATAAAAATACCCAGGTTGCGCAATTTCAACGTATACCTCAAAACGTATGTATGGTATAAAGAAGAGTGAAATATCTAGCTATGCTCTGTTTCTATTGAGTTAAAAGTTCAATTTATGAATGAAATTACCCATATTTTTAACGTTTTTTTTAAATTTATTTATGTTTATACTATATTCTAACAATCTTTATCTTAATTTGATTTTACTATGTTGTCGAAATAATTATGTGTTCTACTTTGACGCTTATTCAGTTTAGGATCGGTTTCTCTTATGAGAAACCAGCAGTAATCACCCATCATTGCGACGTCCCAGAATCCTTGATATCGACTCTCAATTAATTTCATTTGCTGATGAAACCTTTCGCCATGTTCATCACTTTCGTCGCCAAGATTTGCCGGAAAAAAGCTCAAATGTGAGTGGAGAAAGTGAATTTTTAAAGACATATTTAGGCCTTTTTTCGCATAATTATTGATTAGGTCGTTCACTATCTGCTCGTAGTTAGGGCTTTTGTGTCTACCGAGAAAAGAAGCAACGACCTTTTCAAAGGATTCCCACGCTGCTGCCTCAACTGATGAGAGTAGTCCTTTGAATTGATTATTGTTGATCAACTTTCTTATTTGTGGTCCAACAAAAATACCTTCCTTTATCTTGGCTTGAGAAATATCTGGAAAAACTGTTTTCAAATAGTCGAATGCTTCGCCTTCTTTGTCCAAAGCCTTAACAAAGTTTTTAATGAGACCGAGCTTGATGTGTAAGGGTGGAAGTATGATTTTCTCTTTCTTGACAAGAGGGGTGTATTTGATGTTATCCACACCAACGGTAAACTCGACTCTTTCCGGCCAATCCTTTCTGACGTAGGGGTCCTTACGAGCTCGGCTATCCCACTTGCAGAGGAAGCAGCAGTGCTTGGTGTAGCCACTTTGTAGACCGCATAGCATTGCAACGACTTTGAGATCAGAACATATTTTCCAATCATGCTCTTCATATTTGATAAATTTGAGTATTTTTTGCATTTCCTCGTAGGTTTCCTTTGTATTTACTGCATGTGCAATCGGGATAGAAGGCTTTTTGTTACCAATATGCAATAATACAGCCTTCAAACTCAGTTTATTGCCGTCTATGAACAATCGCCACTCTTTTGAACCATATGTTTGACCAAACTCTTTGAATAAACCAGGGATGTCGTTGCAGTAGCATATACTGTCTTTCTTGGTATAGTGTTTGGAAAATGGTTCGTGACGAGTTCTACTATATGTCACCTTAACATCGGATGACACAAATTTAAATTGTTGCATACGAGAAGTGTGGATCTCGGCCTTTTCCTTGGATAGTTCCAAATCTCTTATCCAATCATTAAGTTGTGCTTGTGACAGAACGTTTCTTTCGTTTTCCATGCGATATTCAGTACAACTTGATCCCCCGCACTCAGATGTTACTGTTGACAATGGAACTGGATCCGCAACTGCCGTTGAATGTAGTACCGGTAATGTCACTGTAGGTACGCTAGCATAGGTTACTCCTCTTGATCTTCCAACGCCAAGTACTTTTGTTTGACAAATATAACACTCTATTGAATGGCAAGTAGGTTCTCTCCATATCATTGGTGTATCAAATTTTGTTTGTTGTCCTGATTCCCACTGAATCAATTCTACTCGACACGATGTACACAAATTGTTCGGTGTCCATGGTTTTTCAGCATTTTTAGGCTCAATTCCAAAATACTTGGAGTATAAAGTTTTGATATGATCTGAGAACACTCGTCGTCGCCTTATGATAGTATATTGGCCACACATGAAACAGAACATATCTGGATCCTTATTACACTCAAATTCTCGCGTCCTTTTACTCATTTTATTTTTTTTAATAAATCACGGTTTTGAAATTAGACTTATGAACTGAACTATCTCCGGCGAGCCTTGAAGATGTTATGAAGTTTCAAAGCGCATTAACTCATATTTATACTCGGAACAAGAATAAAATTGAAAAAATCAAATCTTACCTAGACAGAAAGGTTCCTTTTTATAACAAGCCGGGAAAAGAAAATACTACCTGTTTTAGATGTAGGCTTTAGAAATTTTCTGTGTCTTATAATTTTGAAAATCTACCTGCATACTTACCCATAACTGACGGAAATACATGTTTATAACTACATGCCTACAGCAGGTTTCGAACCCAACCACTCTTCCTTTCGATGCAACCACTCTACCTATAATACAATTCGAGTATTAAAAGTACTATTTGATTTATTTAAAGAAAAAGTGTTATCATTGTTATGGTGTTATTCGTTTATCCGGATAATATCTCACTTGCACTTTATACCTTTAATATATGTATGTATGTATAGGTACATACATTGAAGTTGCGCAACCTGGGTATTTTTATTTGATCGCTTATAACTTACGTAGTTTTGCATCGATTTTCTTCGATGATAGCTTATTTTTTTTGTAATACAACAGAGCTTAGGGAGAAAAAAAAAATCTGCAAAAAAATAAAAGGTTTTCGAGATCCTTCCCCGCAAAGTACAATTTTTTTATATTTTTACAAAAAAAATTGAAAAAATCGGTAATGATTGTTCGTTATCTTGGAATCTACAGGGCCTAGCAAAGTGTTGTATGCACAGTTTATAGAAAATTTTATTACCTTTTAAAAGCTTCAAACCGTTTTGGAATTGCTTAATTCGTTCTTGAGATATATATGATAAAGTGGACCCAATTTTTTTTTTTTTTTTGCAAAAACGGTAAATTGCAAATATCTCAAAAACGGTACCATAGAATTAAAAATAACCTTGATTTTCGGAATCAGGGGGTGATTTTACATAAGAATTTCATAACGGCGTTTCTGGTAAAGAGCAAAAGTTGAAATTTGTGGTCCAGTGTTATTATTGCAATCGATAGTACGTCGTTTGTTCTTCATTGTTCGTCCATTTTTAACGTTTGTTCCTAAACCAAACATTTATAATTAATTTTTTACATTTTACAGTTCCTGCCTTTAGCAGCACAAATGTCAGAATTTCATTATTTTCATTTGTTAACTGTGATAAATCGGTTGTTTGTCGTCAGTTCGTCGTTTTCTCATCCCTAACATCGAGCGAAAGCCGTTAATAAATTCATGATTTTTACTTTACGTTAAACATTACGAAAACGTTTAAACAATAATTGGAATTGTGGCCGATGAGCTAAAAAAAAAGTAGGCGTGGACGCCCTCTTTTCCTGATTTTAACGGCATATTTTTATTTGTGCAAATTATCAGAGAAAAAAGAAATAGTGGACGTGGTTCCTTTTTGCTTAATTGACAAGGGCGGCGCTAGGGGGCTTAACGTGGAATTTTCAACACTTTCAAAAGCTTATCACCCCGGATTTTGCTACGAATCGTAGAAATAGTATGCTGCAATCCAAATCGTATTTTCGGACTTTCCAAATTCGTAACAATGGCATGCCTAAAAACGGACGAGTAAGCTTTTTTGCGTAATTTTGTACGAAAACAATTCTGTGTCGGAGGCGCAATAAAAGATGTAAATCGATGTGTGTTCGCAAGAAATATTGGTGGTGTTAATTTAAACAGATAAATTTGCTTTTCGCATATACGTATATTTTTATCCACTGCTTTATATAAACGTGCAAAAAAGAATATTTGTTGCCCCTTATCGAGAAACTTAGGTCCGGTTTACTTAAGGTTGTTGTGTCCAAACGCATAACCCGAATCCAAAAACTTTAACATACACGTGTAATCAAAGGATTCACATTTTATTTAAGATAAATGTTTCAAATTTCCTACCACTAGCTTATTAATAAACTCGGTTTGCACTATGCACTTTTTTGCAAATTTCGACGTGGGTTCTGCGCAAAAACACTGGACGGCGTAGCCGGAGTGATGTGCACAAGAAATGTTGTATACCTTTGACATGCGGAAGCCCCACTTCCCCGCAACATAGAAAGGAGAATTCTACTTAGTAGGGGTTATAATCCCTAGGCGCTGCCGAAGGCAGAAGCAAGCGCAACAGGTGGTTGTCCTAACAAAGTGCATGTTTTCAATGGCTTGGAAGAAGCTGTTATTGCATTAACTGGATTGGGAACCAGAGC